ACTCCCAAGCCCTTGCTCCCCCAGTAAGGTGGCCCATGTGGGTGGCACACAGAACGGCCTTGAAGATGGAAGAGCTCACACTCCCCTCCCAGAAACTTTCCTCCAGCCCAGCGGGTGCAGTCTCACCCAGCTCTCCTGGGACCTGTGCTTTGGCATTTGCAGGCCTACATCTATGCTGAAGTTGGAGGCGAATGCAGCAAGCAGCACCCTGGAGCCAGTGTGGGGGATGCAGTGCGCCCACAAAGCGGTGGTGGGCCGTGTAAGCCCACTGGGGATGCCTGGGAAGTACCCCGGAGCCCCTTCCGTCATATTACTCTCCCTGACTGTGCTCTGGTCAAGGCTGTCTAGGTCAGGTAGGCTCTTTGCAATCCCATGTCTGTGGCTCAACAAAGTTCAGCGTCCAACCTGGCACGCCAAACTGATTCAGGGCTAATTCCCAGAAGTGGCAGCTTCGTGCTGGGCAGTAGGCAGGAGCACGGCCCACTGCTATGGACTCCTTCCTCACACTGAGAACGGCTGGTTCGAGTTTTGAAGCCACATGGCTGATGAAGGAGTTGCTCATACAGGAGCTTAATCTGAGGCACAGCCCTACAGCTCCTTCTGCCCTGGTCGCACCTGCGAGCAATGGGGCAGGAACCCACCAAAAGCAGGGTGCAAAAGGGAGACTCCATTACCACCCCCCTTCCCAAAGCTGATGTTCAGGGGGTGTTGTGCCACCAACAGAGCTAGAGGACCTGGCACCATGTGTGTGTCTAGCACGCGCACACACACACCTCCTGAAGGCTGAAGTGACTGTCACTCCCGCCCTGTCCCTGGTAAGTCCCTGGCCCCACACATGCAGAATTCAAGACCTGCATCCCTCCATTGACTGAGATAACGATGCTGTTTGAAGAAGCCTATGGGCATGCTAGAGTGCAGGTTAAATACGGCCCACATGGGAGTCCAATGCAGGCCAGTGCTACCCAAAAGGAAGGGGTGGAGGGAATAGATGGAGGCATGTGGTGGCATGGTCCTTGCTGACAGTTGTGTATACCCTTGGCCTTGCCTCACCCAAGCCCCATCTATCCTTCTGCAGCCTGCAATGAGCATTTAGTGCTGCTTTTGCCAGCATCCCCCATTGCTCTAAACAGAGTTGCAACAGGGGCAGCAAAACCTGTGGCTCTGCATCTGTTAGTGCAGCTCTAGCAAGGGCAAGGAAGGGGGAATACTGGGACCCCAGGCTCTAGCACACTGTGCCTCTCCCCTTAACATGGATTTGCTGACAACTGTCCACCTTCTATTGCACCCAGCTTGGGATGCATGGCTGGGGGCTCACCAAAGAAGAAAAGAGGGGCTCTTTTCTCTCATCGCCCTCCAACCCCAGAGCCCAGTGCTGTCTCACTGCGGACTCATGACCGTCATGGCCAGGGGCTCTGAACACTGCAAGTGTCACGCTGCTGCTCTCCCTGGGACCCGTCACGTTCACCTCCCCATGGCCCCAGACAGCTGATGGATGTGCCTGGACAAGTGGAAACCTGCCTCAACTTGTCAGCAGGACAGCAAGGGCCCTGCAGCCGCAGCAGGATGCTGCGTGTGGTGGGAGGGGACCCTTATGCCCCCTTTACCCTGAGCATCTCCTTCCCCACTCAGCATACGAAGCCTGGCCAGGCTGCATCTGCAAGCCCAGAATCTGGCTACACAGCTGATCGGATTGTGTCGGTCACTGACACATACCCATTACAGCCAGCAGTTTCAAACCCCAAACCAAGGGAAGGGGGAGGTCAGGAGAGTGACCCTAAACATAAAGGTGCGAGGGCAGGGAGTGGGGACCCCGATTCTACCATATCATTTTTACCCGATACCTGTCAAATTCAGCTATCCACAGGGAGACAAGTGAAGGCAGTAGTGTCAGGAATGCCCCTCACTGCATGTGCATAAGGCACTGGAGCTAGACTCTGGAGATATGGGTTCAGTTCCTGTCTCTGCCACTAACTTCTTGTCTGACCCTGGGCAAGTCACTCCATCTCTCCCTACTTCATTTGCACAAAAGGGTGGGCAAGTCTGTCTCATCCCATTTATGCAGATGATAAGCAACTTGAGGCCCGCCCTGCTTTCTACCTGGTGCCCGTACAGCACCTTGCACAAAGGGTCTTCTTCTCTGTTGCGCTCTACAGCTGCTCCCACATTAATGTACAACAACTCAATCTTAAATGCTGGAAGGCTTGCTTCTGCCATGGTTGACTCATGGTGACCAGCTACATAGACGTGAATTCCTAATGGTCGATACTGCGTTTTGAACTGCCACAGGACAAATGCAGCGGTGGTAGAAGCCCTGGGGCTTCAGAAGACTGTGCCCCTCTGGGGTACTGGAAGTCAGGGGAAGTGAGAGAGAATAGCCCCTGGGCTGCCCCAAACCTCCTAGCCAGGGCCCGCTTTCCACCAGCACACCGACAATACCAAATAGAGGCTCAGCATACCCAGCAGCAACCGGGGAGCTCTGAGACACTGCTGTCAACAGCCCATTTGGACAACCCCCGTGAGCCCTCCCCTCTTGGGAGGGAAGCAGCACCATAGCAACACTACCTCCTGCTGACACCGATTCATCCTGACAGGTGCTTAAATACAGGATAAGAGGCTGCCGGATAGGCAGTGATCAGGGCACCACGATACCTGGTAGGACAGCCCAACTGAGTCTAGCAGCAACACAAGGCTGCCCTGGATTGGTACTGGGATGGGAGCAGGGCATGAAAAGGGAGGTGTCAAAGAGGGCCTCTGCCCACGATGGAGTACTGTGCTCCCAGGGCTGCAGTCCTTCCCCGGAGAGAGTTTCTTACAAGAAGAGGTACTTGAAAATGAGGCAGAGACACCACAGCTGCCCTGTGTCATAGTTTCTAGGGTCAGAAGGGACCTGAGTAGATCACCAAGTCCGACCCCCTGCCGTGGCAGGAAAGAGTACTGGGGTCAAACGACCCCAGCAAGGTGTACATCTAGCATGTCATTAGACTGGGCATCTCCAGTTCTCCTAATACTTTCAGCAGCTTGCAGCACAAGGGCTGCCTCAAACCCCTGAGGGCACCAAAACCCAGGAGCTAATCAGAGCTGGGGGGCAGGAATTTCAGATTCACGGAGAAGAGGCACAGAGCTCAGACAACAAGGGGGCTAGCCATGTACGCCACTTCCTGCTCTAACTGCTTCACACTGCTGTGCTACTTTGATGTTCAACCCCAGAAGTGGCTGCATTGTAGGGGATGGTTCAGTGACCTGCTTTACCCAATGGCCACTGAAATCACTAGAAAGATTCTTCCCAAATTTCAGCAGGCTTTGAACCATACCCCTGGCCCTTGGAGAACAGAGTTTAGACAGTAAAGAGAGAGAAACCACCTACTCCAGCTCTCCGTTTCCTAGAAAGGCAGCAGCATCTCTTGGTCATGTCCCAAGTCAAAGGACTCGGCACATGCCCAGCACTGACAGTATCACTGTGCAGAGAAGACCCCATCAGCTGCAGCGCTATCGTCAGGGTCTTCTATCAGGATGGAAAATACCAGGAGTTCCAGCCAACATATAAATCCCTCTTCTCCTAGAAACAGTTCCCATCACCTCGTCCTATGCTGCTGCATTACACCCCCGCAACTTTTACCTTTTGCACAGACAGTCACGTGCAAAACGACACTGATATGGAACTATTAGCACTGATGCAACTCAGTCCTGCTTTTACAAGGCAGGACACAGTTCCTGTCGCTCTCTGTCATTTGCAAGCCTCTGCATGACACTGGGCAAGCAAATAACTCTTCCCCATTGATTTTACCAGTTACCATTTGCTAGCAATACTTCCACCTTCCCCTCGAGCCTCTAATGCAAGAGAAACCCTCCGGCTCTACGGTGATTACTTCCATTTCCTGTCCACAAGCATCTTTGCTGATGCCAGCAAGAACAAGCAGAGACGCTGGGGTTAGCAGTTGCTAGCAGCTGCAGAGCCAGCAGGGAGGGGAACCTGCATGAGGGAACTCAGCCTAGAAACCCATACTGCCAGGCAGGGCTACTTGGCAGGATTAGGCCTCAATCCAGGGGCAGGACAAAGTGTCTAGCACCTCCCAAGAGGCATTCAGGATGTTGCCTGGGCTCCGAGCTGGCTGAGACAGCTGCTGCGGTGCAGGGTGCAGAGAATAAAGCCGAAGGTGACAACACAGTGCAAGAGCCCTCGGAAAAGGGGAAAATAGGTTCCCATTGCTCAGATTCCCAGGCCAGCCCCTCACAACAGCAAGACACAGATGCAGAATTACTTCCATCCCTCTGCCCTGCAGTGGCAAAGATCAGGCAGGATTGCTTCATGGACTGGGGTGCCATAATAAGCACCGTCTCCTTTGGCTTCTCTTGAAGGCTCATGAAAGAAGCCATTTGACTAGGAGTACAGCTGGGCTGGTACTGCTGTAGTCATCCCAGAAAGCACCTCTGAGTATCAGGAATGCCCTGTGCTCGCAATTTGGTGAGCAACAGCTGCAGCCCAGCCGAGGCAATCGAATCATGGCTTCCCTTTCCTGTACTTGGCCTTTCAGGAGCGCAGCTCTGCTGGTTGCTGACTCAAGCCCAGCTCACTCATGTACCTTACTGCAGAGGGGCTGGATGGCACTGGAAGCTTTGCAGCAGCAGCCAATGCAGCTCCCACCCCAAGGAAGTCTGGCTGGACAGGTAGCTTGGCTCATGCCTTTATCTGACTGCTACACATCACTTTTCCCTGCCCTCCATCCTGCTCAGCCACGGATATTGACTGCTCAGTGATCATGGCTACCAGGGGAGCTGCTTTTTTTTCAGATGTAAGCCCCAGTAAGGGCAGGCAACACATCAGTCCCTCATTTCTATTTGATGCACTTCCATACATGATACCTCCCCAAGCCAGCCCTGACAACATAGGATTAAATCCATATAGACCGAACATATCCCTCATTCCTGTCCATGCCCCAGGCGACCGGGTTTCCACAGAAGGCAGAATAACAACGGCATCCCTGTAAGCCAGGCCTACTTACTTAATGCAACCAATGATGACCTGGGTCAGAGGGTAGATGAGTGGCTGCAGGATCTCACTGGGGTAGATCGTGCTCAGGACCCGGCACCAGAAGTACAAGCAGTGGACGTACTGCCAATTGTAGACAGATTGGTAGTTCTCCTGCAGAAGGCGGACAGGAACACAGGCTTGGAAAAAGAGGCATGGGTCACACCTGGATTTGACAGCAGATGGCCAGGCTGCCATGCAGACAGAGCCAGGAAACTTGCAGTTTTGACCCAGGCTAGGACAGCAGTGGGTTATTGATGGCAGGCTCGGGGAAGGTGCTGGCTCAGAGTTCAAGAGACTGCAAGAAATGAAGTCTGGTGGTTGTGTGGTGCTAGCTGTTATTTGGAGGGAAGATAACACCACGTGCAATGTGCTTTTTGGCAGGTCTCCTTCAGGCACGCAGCACCTCTATTGAACACCTGGCCCCTCACAGAGCCAGACCGTGTAGGAGCCTTGGGGAACCTTCCTTTTACCAGCAAATGGGTATGGCCCCAGTCCTCCTTCAACAGCCAGGCTGGGAGGTGCCTCTTTCGCAACCTAGCAGACTTCCTTCCAAGTCTCTGGACACAGCAAGGCACAGAAATAAACCTGGATAGCTAGACAGCAGAACCTGCCAGGACCTGCCTCTCCTTTCCGCTATCCACCAAATCTGTGTCTGCTCCCAGACGGTGCACGAAACCCCTTTACCCTGAAATCGGCTGAAATAGGAAAATCGGCTGGAAAAGCAGTGTGGTGGCCAGCTTCTGCCACCAGGGGGCTTTACTCCCCTGAAATGGTGTATAAGGATCATCCCTTGCTAGTATGCTCCAAGGTGCCTTCACCACCAGAACATGTCACGCTGCTACAGCTGGCCAGTCCAGCACGGACTCCTCCTGGGGGGGAGAGCTGTCTCGCAGCCCTGACTCCCATGCTTTGGCATGGATCCCCCACTGACAGCCTGCTCTCAACAAAGCCAAGAGCAAGACAAAGCAAGGCTGAGAGCAAGTCCCCTCTCTACCTCAGCCCAATGCTTTCAGGATAACTAGAAGAGACAAGGCCAGGGGTCGTGCTTGGGTTTAACATGGGCAGCATGGCAGGCTGCATTGTCCATCACAAGCAATACGACCAGGCAGCATGGGACAAAGACTTCTACTAACATTTCAAAGCAAGTAAGGGATGGCTTCCCCTGCCTCCGTCTGCACTCTACTTGTGGACGGTCTCAGGGGAATCAAACCCCCATACGGAAACAGCCCTTTCACTAGCATTTTCCTCCCAAGTGAAAACCCCTGAAGTCCCATGAGGAATTTCTCCACCTGCAGGCACAGACCCACCAAGCTGGGAGAGCTCAACAAGGACCCCAAGTGTTAAGGCCTCCCAATGCTGCCCCCAGCACAGGCGCTGGGCTCCACACTTCTCCCCCGGGGGCACTGGGACCAGTCCCTTGAGAGGGGTGAGGGGGTGAAGTGCTGACTATCATGACCCAGAAACCTACGCTGAAGCTGAGGTAATGGTTTAGCGCTCCAGGCTCACTCTGCTTTCCTGGGCACTTTCCAAAGGTCATTCCTCACTGAACATGTCAGGATCGTGTGCTCCAGCCTCCCATTCAAGCCATGCAGACCTGTCAACGGCCCCTAATCCACCCTCCAGCATCACCCTGTTCATTTTAAACCAATCAACTCATTGTGGGGATGTGTGTGCATTGGCCGCATTAGTGTGGTTTCAGCTTCCCTCAAGCCCTCTGGGCAATCAAATGGCTTTGGGTCCTACCTGTTCAGGGGAGAGGTGTGGGAAGCTAACACAATCCCATTAAGCCCAGACGCTGTTCCTCTCTGCCTGGTTTCACCCCCAGCCTGAATGCCCAAGAGATTTATGCAGTAACCAGTCCCACGGGACACGAGCGTTAACAACTCATAAGTCAACAGGGGTTCATTTTCCTGTCCGCTGTGAGGGCTGAATTGGCAACCTGATGCCAGACGGGCAGGTCAGATGGGAAATAGCCCAAATCAAGGCTGCCCCAGAGGGATGTAGTTGCTCTGCTCAGGGGAGTTCACTGACGGTGCTGAGCAGGTAGGGTTGATCTGCCAGGCTGACACTGCTGGAGGGCCACAGGCTCATGATCTTCTCTCCTCAGGGGTCTTGCTAGGCATTTAAAACACTCCCACTACACACAGGAGGAAGTGTCTGGTGTGGGAGAAGATCCACCAGGATCTACTGAGCTTGGGGTGAGAGAGTCACTGGATCAGGGGCAGGACACCATTCCCCTATACAGCTGTGCTACAGCCAGGGAAGCACAGCGGCCTGCCTGTAGCAGAGTTGTTGAAAGAGCCCAGCTCAGTTTGCTGGGGGGCAGCTTCTGGCTGTAGAGAGAAGAGGCATTTTGATGGCAGTTCTCAGCCAGAGCAACCTCTCCAAGAGCAAGCAGAAGCACTGAAGGAGAGGCCACGAGTTTACCTCTCCCCTCGGCCCACTGCATCTTAGGCTGTCCAGGATACAAGACACAGCACAGGCCACTCAAGCTCACCCACCCAGTCATAGGTGTGTTAGGGCAGCTCATGAAATACCCCTCCCCGTCCCCACACCCTGAGGTACAAGTGCACAGTTGCAGAACCTGCTACCCACCTTCTTCTTCATTGTCATGGCGCTGCGGAGGTGAATGGCCAGCTGGCGGATGTAGATGAAGGCATGCTGGTAGGACACGTGGGTGTCCAGGGCATACATCACTGCCAGGGTCCGCTGCATGAAGTTGATCATGGGGAGGGCGTTGGGGGAGGTGAAGCGGGAGTTCTTCACAAACGCGATGTACATTTGCTGCAAGGAGAAGGCACCCGGGGTCAGAACAGAGCTGGGCGGAGGAGGGGCATTTCTCAGTGAGGCCATTGGCACAGCAGGGTTTCTGGCATGGCACTGCTCAGGAAAATCTGATCAAGACAGCCTTGGAGACTGCTAAGCAGGCAAAACCAGCGTTTCCTGCCACAGCTCTGCCAACAAGACTACAGCTGGGTCCACAGAAGTGAGCAAGAGTGCCCTCTTAGGGCCTCCCAGCCATGAATGCATCGTGCCAGCCTTGGGATTGGTCTGTGCAATGCACAAGTCCATTTCCCTAGAAACAAAATTCCTTTTCCTCAGGTGCCCAGTGGCCTGGCTGCTCTCTGTCCCTGCCACCACGGGCACAGAGGATTTCTGACCATAAACAGCAGTGAGCATGCCATCTAGCCTCTCCTCTGGCACATCCCAGCAGCACACAACTCTGACGGCTCGCCCGTCATGCCCTGGGAGGCAGAGAAATCACAATCGACCTACAGAGCAAACCTCGCCACTACCTTGAGCACCGGGTTCAGGTAGAGCTCCTTTTTGTGCCGGCAGACTTTGCTCAGCGCCAGGAAGGCCAAGACTCTCACAGTCTCCTCCCCTGTGCTCCACAGATGGATGGTTTGCTAGGGAGGAGGGAAACAAAAGGGGGACACATAAGCAATGCACAAGTTCCTGTCTTGATAAAGAGGCCAGAGGGCTTCCTCACTCTGGGGTTTGGAGAGGGAAAAGGGGCCACACTTGCACAGCATCTGGCATGATGGGGCTCCAATCCCAGGCAACACCCCCAGTGCACGCTCAGTATCCTGCCTGAAACAGGGATGGGGGGGAGGCTGGCATCTCCACCAAGGTTCTCGTTCCCGCTGCCGAGGAAGCAGCTCTTTCCTGGCTGCAGCACTCAACAGAGGCCTTGAAACACAAGACCTAAGTGATCTCGGGGCAACACATCGCCACCCAGACAGCATTCCCACCCCACTCACACACCACACTACAGCCTTGGAAGATGTTTCACATCACCAGTTGCCCCCCTCTTGTGATCCACGCCCCCACCCATGCTTTGTTGCTGCAAAGTGATCAGCAGTTGTGACTAAGTTGCTGTAAAAATATTCCACCCCCAGCTCCCCCGAGTCGAGCGCTAGCACACACACAGACTGAATGCTGCCATTCCTGTACCCGTGCTTCAGAGGCACGCAGCTCTTCTGTACTATTTCTGGGACCCTCTGGGGTGAGCATGGGGGCAGTGCCATGCATCGTAAAAATTAACTGGGGGCACAAAGGCGTAGTGCCCACTCTCTCAGTGCCATGGCTGGCATCATTACTTAGTGATAACCATGAGCTTAAAACAGGGAGGTCTAGGAGCCAAACAAGCTGTCAGTGTTAACCACAGAGCCCCAGCACTCTGTATGCCACTAGGGAAACAGGGGCAAACACACTCCCATTCAAAAGAAAAAACTCCAGGGCATTAGTTAACACATGCACAGCCCAACAGGATACTGCTGTATTATCCATGATTGAAGCAAAAGTGCATCCGATACATCCAGTTCAAAACAACACTGATATCACCTGTGGCTCTTTGCCGATGTCACAACCCTGAACCGTGGACGGGGAGTTACTGGCCTCGTGGGACCAAAAGAACAGCCGGGCAGAGCAGCCAGACATGGAGTAGGGGCAGCCATGAGATTGCTTCATCCTGGGATACAGCCCAAATCCTAAAGGCCATGAGAGGTCCAAGGCAGGGGAAGGGATGGATGAAGGAGACCCCCCAGGGCCTGACTTCAGTAATGTCTATGCATAGACTTACCTTGAGCAGCATGCGGCACTGCTTGGGGAAGGACAGGTAATAAGGCACGATGGTGTTCACATGCTGCAGGACCGCGGCTCCCACGGAGGCTTCTGTCAAGCAGGACAGGAGCTGCAAGAGGCAGATCCAGCAACAGCCCAGTCAGGCCTGGGGGCTGTCACCCCCACCCACTCCTTCCCATGCATGCGTCAGACAGCCACATCCCACCATTGCCACAGAGGCACAACTGGTACGATACCCAACTCCTGGTTTTGGGGACACATTCCTCGCTGCCATGCAGACACTTCCTCAGGGAAAACTGAACATCAAACCCTCTGCTCTCTCCCAGTGGAAACCACTCCCAGGTGAGGAGTTTGCTTCTGTTTCAAGAGCTTAAAGCCACAGAAGTTTGGGAAACTATTTAACCTGCTGCCGGCATAGTTCAGAGCCCCAAAAAACCACTACAGGAAACACTTCTTCCCCTTAATACTTCTCTCATCTACTTGGTGGCTAGACAGGACTGAGCAGAGCCACTGCCCTGCTGAGCCTCTGAGGCCTTCAAACAGCCATGGGACAGGGAAATCATCCACAGCCTGAAAAACCAGTGGCAGGCGGGTGCATACATGGGGACAGAGCAGGTGCTCAAGACACCTGTCACCTGCCCTGCACCAGAGCTCCCATGCGCTGGCTGCAATCCTCATATCGGCTGCTCACAGTAGGCCCAGGCCCTGGAGGGAACGGCTCCGCGAACAAGATGGGGATTTTGTGGCAAGTCATCCCACCCGCCTCCAGTCTGGAAGGACGCTGGCACTCTCATCCCATCTCCCTGGCTTTGCTTCCCCGACATTTCCACTGAAGGGTGAGCACTCTACCCATCACAAATGACAACCCCCCCCTCTCTGTCACGCTGTGGGGGTGCAGGATGAAATGGCATGTTGGCTTCTCCCAGCCTTTGGGGGAGGAGGGTAGAAATTGCAGCATTGAATGTACAAGGATGCCACACTTGGAAATCTAAACGTGAATAACCCAGCATAGGTGGGAGCTTTTAATGAGGTAGAATGAGGCAGGGCAGATGTGAGGTTCAGTCTGCCAACTGGAACCTCTTTGCAAGTTTGAGGGTAGGAAGGGACAGTCATTAAACCCCCAAAACACTAGTGGGGGAGACTCAGGAACAGGGACAGTGTCTTAAACTGCTTCTGCCTAACTGGGTTCCACAGGTGAGAAATGAAAGCCAGAAAGGTCCAAGAGATGAGCCAGGTGGTCAGCTGGGATGGATCCCTGTCACCCTTTCATCAAAGCCAGGGACTTCAGTTAGGTCAATTATTAAAAAAAAAAAGCTCTCTCTCACGCCACAGTTAGAGAAAAGAGGAGTCCAAGGCACTGCCAACACCAGGGGCTTCTGTTTGGGCAGGGAGTCAGCAGGGAGACATGCCCAGATGCCCCCTAGCAAATGGACACCACTGTGGGCAGCAGAAGAGGACAGCGAAAACCTATCTACGTCCCTCCTTTGGAGCTGATTGGAAGACAGCAGCTAAAGATGGAAATCCTTGTCTCTCCGGGAATCTCCTTACACAGAGAAACTGGGTTTGGGCAATTAGAGCAAATGACGCCGCAAACATCTGCTCCATTAACTGGCTCATTTTAAAGGGGCCGTCAGTGGCAAGTCAGACATTTGTCTGCTTTGTTCCTCAATCCATGATGCCCCAAACATGAGGCTGTTTGTAAAAGGAATCCCAGGACCTCTCAACAGCACAGCCACAGCCGGGGCCTTTACCTGGACAGTGCAGCTCAGGTACATCTTGATATCCAGTCGCAGCTTGGCCCAGAACGGGCTGGTTGAGGGCAGCACCAGCCTGGAAATAAGCAAGAGCTGGGTTGAGAGCAAGGAAAGCAGCATGGTTTGAAGCAAAAAAGCAATCAGTAACAACCAAGAAGTCATGGAAAAAGGTTCATTCGGGGTCAAAGAACACATTTCCTTTTGGCTGCGTTTGTTTTAAAGGGCTTTCATTAAATTAATGCAAGGGAAGCTTCAGCGGGGAAAGCTGCTGCCAGCTGAAAACTCAACCTCTTATTCTCAAAGCGTTAAAACAAATGTTCAGATTCCCCACTACTTGTTCAAATCCACCCCCCACCATCGCCTCCTGCTGCTATTTGGCAAAACCAAGGCTAATCTGCAAAACGTTTTGGTATCACTGAGTCTCCATTTTGGGGCTGAACAAGAAAAAAAGTTCTCTCATAATGAGAGGGGGGATGATTTGTTCTGACATCCATCAGCTGGAAACTCCTAGGCAACCAGCATGCTCTGTTCAGCCAGGCGAGGGGGCCATGGAGGCATCAGATTCCCATTAAAATGAAGGAACAAGGCCTTGCCCTCAACATGGTGCTGCAAGAGGGGATGCCAGGAACAGCTGTAAGAGCAAAGTGCTGTGGTGTAGCCTGCCTGACAGAAGAGTTACTGAAATAAAGTGGAAGGTAAAGGTGTCTGACAGCTCTGGTACAGGCCTCATTTACCTTCTGTGCAGACACTGCTGGGGCCATTACTTGAAAGCAGCATTTGGTTTTCGTTAATAGTAGAGATGTGTGATTTGACACATGATCTGTGTTGCTCAGGCCTACTAGGCAGGAGAAGGAGCTGTTCCCCACTGTGACCACCTCATAGCCTGAGCACAGGAACTGGGATCTACACTTCACATAGGCCAGCAAGGTGCTTCACCCATCCCACCTCCCATAATATTTGGCAGGGACTCCCTTGGACCACAATGCACTTTCCAAAACTAAGGAGAGCGCCTGGCTTGGCTCTAGCCCCAGCTTAAATGCAGCCACCTCTGGGGTGGACTACAATGAATATGGCAAGAGTTGAAGGTAAGACGACAAGATGAGAACAGTCTCCAGCTGGAACAGGACAGGGAGAATAGATGACTGTAGCCTGGCTGAGGGGGAAACCACCATAACCCCCCACAGCTTGCATAGTGCGGTAGAGGATCTCACCACTCCCTAGAAGGCCCTGGCCTTTAGTTCCAGCTGCCCCATCCCGACCACCACACTGTGGCACTAGGTCAGCACAGACTCACAGCCAAATCTGCTCTTGACCCAGCCTCCAGCACTGCTTCCTGCTGCCCCAGTGACCCACACAGTTCTACCCTCCCAGTGCAGACCCTGAGCATCTAGGGGCACCAGACACAACCTCAGGCCATGGCTGTTTAGCTGCTAGCCACAATCTGAGAGCACTAAACTGTGCATGCAAGTCAGATGCTCTCCCTTCTCCAGGCGAGTCAGATGACCGGGGCCAGGAATGCAATGCGGAGATCTTGGACCCAGGCCAGCTTTTAGGAGAAAGGGATTAATTGTACCCTTGTTCGCCCAGTTGCTCATTGTTATTCTCCATTTCACCCATGAGCTAACGCTGACCGGGTCACACAAGGAAGCTCCAGCCTGCCATGCTTCAGGCTCAGGGGCCTAAGGCGTTAGCAGCAATAAACAGCTAAAGCACTGGGTTGGCTTGCTGTAAAGTCACATGCCTCAAGGGCAAGCAGGACAGCTGCAAACCACCTTCCCCTTCCTCACAATAGGACCTCAGATGCCTCAAAGCATGCCTGGACAGGAGGAAAGTCCCCATGCTGGTACATGAGGATGGTGGATGCCCACCTGGTACAGGACTCTGGAATCTGGTCTTCAGGAGCTATTCCCCTTTTCAGGAGGGTTGAGGATTGGGGATAAGAAGCCCATGAACAGACTTCCAGATAGGCAGGTTACAAGACAAAATAAGTCCAGGCAATGCCCTTCGGTACAGGGAAGAAGCACTCAACTTACTTGGATTTGTCTTTCAGCACCTTCACCTGAAGCAGCTTCTGCAGGTGGCCAAAGAGGTCCCGAATGCAAAAAGACACCAGAGCGTTGAACACTGGACAGAAGAGAATGGGATGGTAAAGTATTTGCAAGTCTGGGACTCAGGCTCCCCAGTGCTACTGCAGTATAAATAAGCAGGATGCCACCCCCAGAGTTCACCCAGCTTTTCTAAAGCAATGGCTGCAGACAGTATGTTTGTCCTATGAGCTGTATTGAATTAGAAAAGAGGGTTGCTGGGTTTTTCCTCCCGAGAGGAGAATGCGAGGTGTACAAACCCCACACTGAGCAAAAAAAAAGGGGTGATAGGGGCTGCTGAGGCTCAACAAACCCTGCCTTGCCACAGTTGGGGATGGCATCAGGTCTGGAAGGCAATGACAAGAGTGGAACAGGCAGCTCAGCTGGTGACTGAGCGAGGCTGGCAGAAGGTTCCTTCGAGAGGTCACCAGCCTAGCACTGCCCTCTGAGCTTCCTGTGGCCAAGCAGGCCTGAGGACAGACTGCCAAGAGTAGACAGACACTGAATCAAAAGCAGCCAAGTCCAGCCATTGACAGGGACTGACGGCCCTCTCTTTGTGCTGGTTACGTGTCTTGGGAACAGTGTACTGGCCCTCCTTGGGGTGGACTGGCTATGCTGCCAAGGTGGAGGCACTGACAAGGAATTGTAGACATGACAGTATTGGATGAGGGCTGCTGGAGTGGAGAGAGGGGCCTAGCACTGTCTCAAACGCAGCACTGCTTCAGGGGCAGGCTCTCGGCAGGGACATCACACAGCTTTGTCAAGCAGCCAGGTCTTTCCTAAAGAACCGTAGGCTGCCGCTGAGTTTCCAGGGGATGGATGTGCATAAACTTGGCCCGCTTAATTTTCACCCATTTCCCCAACTTTGTCCTCAAAGGCTTCATCATCACCCTCCCAAACCCCAAGCTCTTGTTCCAACCCTCCCACAGACCCAGTCAGGGCAGCCTTAGTCAGAACCAAAGCTCTCACCAGCGCTGTCCGTGACTTTGAATTTGCTGGGATCGGCTCCACCCTCATCTCCTTTGGTAGTTGCCACGGAAGCTTTAAAGGCCTGAGTGATCTCGTGGAAGATTTTGGGTGTCAGCCCCTTCTAGAAAGGAAGAACAGGGAGAAGTGAGAGTCCTACTCAGGAACTGTATTTGTTCATTACTAGTCATTTTTTATTGCTTTGTGTCAAAACATCTCAAAAGCCCTGGACCCAGGAAGGGACACATCAAAATCCTCTTTACAGAGGGAAGAGTGACCTGCAACATCCCACAGTATTCTAAACCTAAGGAGGTGTCTATACAGCCCAAGAGTTGTACAGTGCCAGCGTGATTCCCTGCCCAGAACACACATTCACGGGGACTGTAAGTCCAGTCACTGACATCCACAAAGGATCAGGCCCTTAGCTATGGAGAGGACGAAGAGCAAGAGGTGACGCCCTGGGCAGAGGCAGACTGGAGAGAATAAAAGTCAGGGCATGATTTACAGCCTGGCTGCACATGCAGCTGGTACTGCATTAGTGCTTCTGGTGCCCTCACAATGGTACAACCCTGTATGGTTTGGTATAAAAATTTCTTATACTCAACTTACTCCCCCAGGAGGCAGGGGAGAAGCTATGCTGGCGTGAAGGAGCCTTTATGCCGTTATAGATGCAGGTGTATACAGGGGCTATGCCAATGCAGCTCTTTTGGTACATAAACCACTATTGTGTATCAGTACAAAACCAGTGATGGGAGCAGGCCTGGAATAACACAGACAGGGCTGCCCATACTCTTGGCTACTAAATGCAGCATGAGACACAGCCAAATACAATGCACCAAGTCAGAGTCTCAGCACTGCACTTGGGAGGGGATTTTAACTTGGGCTTGCACCCTCAGCGCTCTCTGCCCTACCCCCTCCCAGAACCCTATCCCCCGACCCTCACCTTTGCAGCCTGCTTCCACTGCTCCACCATCTTCAAGCTCACAGTGATGAAGTCGACTTTTTTCCGTCTCATGGTTTCTTCTTCGTTGTCATCGTCATCATCGCTCACTTCCTATGGCAGTTGGAGACAGCAGGTCTGATGCCATTTGCACAGAGCTCTCCTCTCCTCGCTGCTTCACCCTTTTACCCCCCACCCCTGCGAAGGAAGCCTGATAAATTGTTCATGGCTTCAATATTGGCTCTCATCGATGCCTATAGACAGATCAGTGGAAATACAGCCTCACAAACCCAGAGGAACATCGCAGTCCCATCAGGAGCTTGCAGCCTCAGATGGACTAACAGGAGACCTGCTGTAACAGTTCCATGCCAGGAGGTTGGCACACAGGTAAGGAAAAAGAGAACTTTACAGGGTGAGGTAGTAGAAAGTAAGGGTGCCTCACACTGGGGAACTCCTTCCAGGTCTCCATTTCCATATTAAAAAACACAAAGTGCACACAACTCTTCTGCATCCCAGGGACACTCAGCCCTTTCACTGACAGGAAAGGGCTGCGAGATCAGGGAGGGCCTGGCACGGCTACAGAAATGCTAACTGAATCCTTACATGCATGACCAATTTCGGCATTACAAGTCTAACCACCTGCAGACCTGCACACAGGCTTCCAAGGAGGCACTTCCCCACTGCTGTTAGGCCCTCTGCACCCACACAAGCCAAAACTGAATGCAACCCTTGTACAGTAACTCATACAAGTGTTTATGCCTTTTGCAAGTGCCCCCTTCCTCTCTCATACAGGCCCAGTACCTCCAGCGTGTCAGGGAGCGTGTGCAGCCCTTTCTCCCCCTCCTCCTCGGAGCTGTCCGAGTCATCAAAGTTCAGCAGGGATCGGTCATTCTCTTCCAAGAACTTGTAAAACTCCGGATCTCTCTCCTTCAGCCGGGACAGCTGGTCCTTGTGTTCAGATGCCTTCCCCTTCCTCACTTTCCTGATGAAGTGCAGTAACACCCAGTTATTGATCCAGCTCTAAGGCCGCGTGTAGATGAAATGAGAGACGTGTGCACACGACACTGTAAAGCAGGCTAAGTGCTCTTGTATTGCTTTCACAGTGTCGGTGTTTGCATGCCTTGGTGGTGTAGTGTGCATTAATTCCAGCCACTGTAGGAAATTCAGCGGCGTAATGTGCCTTAAATGACTTGGGGCACAGCAAACTAAAACTCCTTCGAGGAGTTTTAGGCTGCTGCCCCTACAGCTGCGGAGTGAAGCACCGGGCTCTGTGCAGCTCTGCAGGAAACCCTGCAGGCAGCCTGGCAGCAGCCCAGGAAAGCAGGCTCCACCCAACAAAAGCGGTGAGCCTGATGGGTTTTTTTTCCCACCCCCCTGGAGCCTACCTGCCCGAGATGCATAGGGGCCTGGTGCTTCCCTCCGCGGCTGCGGTGCCCACTGGGACCGCCTGAGCTGGGTGCCTGCGGGTGGGTGCTGCCTGTGCGGGGCTGCTGCCACCATGGAGGGAAGCCCCAGCCCCCACACAGCACAGGGACCGCTCCGCCAGCCAGCAGCTCACCCTCCCCTCCCCACCAGAGAGGCAGGCAAGTCTGCGGGCTGTGTGCACGACACGGGGATTTAACTCACCACTTCAATTTAGGGACCCTGTTTTGTCTACACACACCCTAAGACTGCACTTGACCTTTCCCAAACAAACCACGCCAAGTTGTGCATACAGGTGATAGAAAGTGTGTTTTGGAGTTATTGGCTCTCCTGAACTGGAGCTACAGTACCTTGGATATTGAGAGTCTTCCATTGTTTGTTTTGGAAAAACCCTATCAGTGTTGGGTTAAAAGCAGTTTCCATTTCTATGGCTTGCCAAAACCCTTTGTTCAGGAAGGCTCTGCTATCAAGTCAAATTTCAAAGGGAGGTAGAGATTGCTTTCCTCGACATTCACAGGGAAATGCAGTACTCTGGAAACTTGGTAGAGACAAGCCAAAATATGACATCACCCTTAAAACAAAGCAATACCAGTGAAAAATATTAAATGCTGTTAGGGGGGGAAAAACGGTGCAATGTATATCACTACGAACTGCACAAAAAGAAAATCCCAGGAACTTTTCACTGTAAAATGAGCAAAATAAAAATCTACCCTTAACTCCATCAGATAGAAGAGTCGCCCTTCTACTTATTGCACATGCAACGTGCTGCAACGTCAAGGGCAGCAACGGAGTCAAAAGTCTACCCGAGTTTTTCCAACCAACTTTAATTTAATGCTACACTCGTATTATGGACAGGACCAAGTCTGCTCAGCCAGTAACAACACAGCTGTCCCCTAGTAAGCTGTAATTTGTATCAGAGACAGGACCTTCATGTGACCTAGTACAGGCTAAAGGTTTGGACCCACGGTCTGGCTAAGGGGATCCTGGCTCGTTTCTGTCCCGCCTTCTGACTAGAACAAACCAGGTCTATTTTGAGCTTATTTATGCTGGCCTGCTTAGAAATGAAAATGTTTTGAGGGGCATCTCAGGATAACACAAGAATCCACGTGTTAAATGACTATTTGGGGAAATGTGAAATACAAAAAACCTCTCTTACTTTTCTGCCATGTTCATTTTGACGGGTTTCTTTTTCCTGCCACCTTCCTCCTCATTCTGGCTTTGCTTCCCTTTAATGCCTTCTTCTGCCAGCTCCAAAGTCTCTTCTAAGTCACCTTCAAATTCCGACTCAAACCCAGAGGTTAAAAATTCATCTATGCTCAGATCCGCGAGTTTCCTAGTTCCAGAGGGAGGAGAGAAAAGAGAGAGGGTAAGAGTGCATGCAGGATTTGAAATGCACCCGAATTCAGTTTCATGTCATATCACATCCCGCCCATTCCAACTAAACCATAACATTCAACATGACCAGTTTTTACCAAAGAAAAGCAGCAAGTTTAATCTGGATGTCAACAACCATCCAAACAGCTAACTTTAGGGCTTGATAAAATCCTGCTCCTGCCAGTTTTCACCAGGGGTCTTCACAGCAGATAAAGAAATCAGTTCTTAACCTATAAAAGTACTGCCCCTTGGGTCCGGGAGATACTGGGGTTTGATTGTAACACAGCAGACACTCCCAAAAAGCCAGCTTTGGATAAAACCATGGCAGGGTAATAACATCGGACCATCCCTGACCCTGTGCCGATGGGGTTACACACAAAGCATAGTGCTTGGCATGCTGCAGTGCTATCAGAGGGCAGGACGGTCTTATACCACCATAGGCCAGACCAGGTGGCTTGCTTACAACCTCTCAGCACTTTCTTCCACGCAGAAAGGAGAACTGCAAGCCCACAGGCCTCCTGTTTCAATAAGTGCCTGCAATCCAAACACTAAAACCAACCCCCCCACAAAAAAATAACCAGGTTAGTTGCCCATGAGATTCTCCCTTGTAACTGCCAGCCACACGGGGTGGGAAATCCCACTGGAAGATGCTGGCTGGAGTCGACAGCTTGGTCCCCGTGCCCGTGCGGGCCATGGCATGGCAGGGGGCTCTGATACCTGCCCGTGGGCTGTACCATGCCGGGTGCTCTCAGCAAGCCCCCACCGCCACCCCAGCCCAGCAGGAAGGGATCTCTGCACCCGCCAGCCCAGCTGGCTCCACGCTTCGCCTGCAGCCCCTTATCCCCTGCCAGGGGCCCATGCATGCAGACACTCCAGGGCTTCCCCACACATGGGGGAGAGCTGGTGCACAAGGATTGTGCCCATGCCCCTGGCACTGGAGGGGGTGCTCAGCCCAAAACAGCCCCCAAAGGGGCTCACTGC